GAGCGCGCCGCGTCGGCTCCGAGTGCTGGTGAACGCAGCATGGGTTTGCTCACGCCGGTACGCGCGGTGCCTGTCTTTTTTTCAAACCGCTGCTAAGAACCTTTTTGAGAAGAACGCGGATTTCGCTCCGAGTCATTTCGGCGGGCAGCGTGCTCAGGACGGACGCCGTGTCGCCCCGAGCGGGGTTTGTGCCGCTGCCTATGTTGTACCTGAGCGTGCAACCAGCTCTTCCCCCGCTTCCCACGGCCTTGCCACGTAGGCATACATACAGTATGTAAAGAAATGAGCATTGCTTTATAGATGGACCCCTTGCCAGTAATTTTCAGTTTGTCACCCGTACGTTGTCCCTGTCCCGTTACTCCTTGCAACTCAGCCTTTCTGAGAAAGTAAAGGCTTCCCTGTCCGTATTGATCAGTACGTTCGGTTCATCCCTGGGCCGGGTGTGAATTCATCCTAGGCGTGTTCGTGAACCACGGGCAGCTCTGGTGATTTCTGGGCACGGGTACGCTTTGCGTCGAGACTTTGTTTTTTTAGCGTGACGAGGCCAGAACGAATTTAGATTGGAACTGAGTGGTGAAAGTGTTGTGAATCTTCAGTTTCTGTAGAGTTATCCCGACACGGAGGTGGGCAACTGTTATTTTTTAAAAGAAGCTAAACAAGTTAATTGTAAATGATGCACGACTGGGATTTTCGTGAAGCTTTCGTTACGTTGCTGGGCGTCATCGACAGACGGCAGGCTGAGACAAAGGCTCGCTTGTTCCGAGCTTATAAAAGGAGGACGGTGCAGTGTTGCAGCAGGAAATAGATTTTGATGGGTAGGAGGACTTCAGGAGATAAAAATAATGATAAAGCAGCGGCGTACAGTAAGAGACACGATGGAGAAGGCAACGGTGCACAGCTTTCGAAAGCAGAGGGTGGTGGTGGGTCACCGCTTCCCCTTGCGCTGGGAGTCACCGTCCCTCCTGCGCTTCCACGGCGTCCGTTCTCCTTAACTCACCGGATTGAATTTAGCAGGCTTGAGCAGGGCAAGTAGAGCACCGGCCGGCATTGCTGTTTGGGACATTTGGTGGCTTGATTTTCCATCTGTACTAGAGTAAAACAGGAGACTGGCACTGACTTGAAAGAAGTACGATTCCTTTCTGTGTCTGTAATCCCGCTGTTGCTTCCTTCCGTCTCCATGTGGGTAGTTTGCCGTAGGAAAAGGACTAGCAAGACTGGCCAACTTAACAGTTGTTGGTCAATGACACTCCTGGAAATCTTCTGACTTCAGTAGTATTTTTTTTAAGTATCATTAATTCCTGCTATCCTACTCTGTCCGTAACCGTGTGAAATGACTGAGTTTATTATTAAGAAGTCCCTAATACTCCTAGAAACCTGGTTCTGTGCTAAGTCAGGAAGATGTATGTGCTTTAAATCTTTAGTAAGATCTGGTTTGGATCAGAGGAGGGAGGTTAACAGAGCCGTATCTTCACTGAGCAGCTGAAAGTGAAGTAAAACAGTCCCTGTGTGGTTGCAGCAGCTCGTGATTTACAGGGCTGAATTCACAAGGCTGCTCCTGCTGCCGAAAATGCACGCTCTCAACCGCTGTTGATTTTTGAATTAAAAAAATGCAGCTCTATACACAGTTTACTTTATTGCCAGAGGGCAGGGAAATATAGGTAAGAGCCGTTAATCCCCAGCAGGCTGCTGGGCAGGCGAACAGACATAGATGACAAAAGTTAATTGGAAACATGAGCTGTTTAACAGAAAACATATTTGTGATAATTGAGAGAGTAACGTCTCCAGAAAGGAAACTCTGCAAAGAGAAACTTCAGAGGAGAAGTGGCCACTGGTAGGTGAGTGTGATTTTTCAAGCTCTCTCTAAGCTCTGGACTAATTTCTTAGCAAGAGCAAATAACGTTAAAAGGAACGAAATAAATAAAAGGTTTGCTCTCTCTGAGGGGGAAGGGCTGTGCAGCTACTGCCACTACTTTCTCTTACAGCTGGATTAAGATACGTGATAATACTTCATTTAGGTTCACTGCAAAGGGACACAATTGGTTTTATGTTTTGTACATGGCGTTTTCCTCTACCTTTTGCCTGTGAAGATCTCAGCCTCCCCCCCAATAACTGAAAGGACTTAAGTTTTAATTTTTTCCTTACTCCAGCATTTTTTTATATGTTTGAGGTTTTTCTAAGAATTGAACTTGGACAGCAAATATTTTGCCAAAAGCAGGGGGAACCCTTAGTTAGAAAATAGTGCTGTGCTTTTGCTAATGAAAAAGCATTATGAACTTAATAAGGGAGAACACATTGCAAAACACATTTTGGTTTGAAATGGAGGAGATTCTTTTTTTTTTCCTTTTTCTTGAAACAGCAAGTAAATGTAAATTATATAGTAGGAGCTCGTTGCTGTTCTGCTGGGTAGGAAAAGAAATCTGGCTTTCATTTTCTTGAAGTGATACTGATGTTGTAAATACTGATATCCGTCCATCTTTTTAATGTTATTAGTGTGAAGTTCCTAATGTTTCCTTACAGAAAGAATCTCAGACTAGCTGTAATATCAGGTACTACTGTGTTGGTTTTTTGGGTTGTGTGTTTTTTTTTTTTCCAGAGCCTGCAGACAGTACAGCCTCCCAGCCCACAGGAATGAATGAAAATGTCTCATCCTCGGTTCAGAGCTGCAGCAGTGCTGTTAGTTGCAATAACTCATCAGCCATCCCTCAGCCCAGCTCTGCTATTAAACCTTGGCGCAGCAAGTCCCTTAGTGCTAAGCACACAGCTACGTCTTCCATGTTATCCGTAAAGCAGCCCGTATCGGAGCCTCCAAAGCCACCCTCGGAAATCGCCAAAACAACTCCCAACGGTCAAAAATCCATGCTTGAAAAATTAAAACTCTTCAATAGCAAAGGAGGCTCCAAAGCAGGAGGGACAACGCTCGAGGGTCCGGGGTCTCGGGACAACAGCTGTGAAAAGCTGGAGACGCTTCTCAGCTTTGAGGAGAGTGAAGAAATTGATGCCACGAATCAGAATGTGAACAATCCAGGATCGATGTCCAGTAGTCCCAAAATTGCACTCAAGGGAATTGCACAAAGGACTTTTAGCCGGGCGCTAACTAATAAGAAAAGTTCTCCAAAGGGTAATGAGAAGGACAAAGAGAAACAGAAAGAGAAAGAAAAGGATAAAAGTAAAGACATTGCAAAGAGAACATCTATCACTGAAAAGCTGGACTTGAAAGAGGAACCAAAAGAAGATCAGACAGCACTAGCAACAACAGAGATGCCAAAAAAGTCCTCCAAGATCGCAAGCTTTATCCCTAAAGGAGGAAAGCTGAATAGTGCCAAGAAGGAGGCCTCTGCCCCTTCGCACAGTGGAATACCAAAACCAGGAATGAAAAACACCACAGGGAAATCCTCAAGTGCCCCCGTTCCTGCAAAGGAAGGCGAGAGAGGCCGCAGCGGGAAGGCCAGCTCGGGACCTTCTCATCAGAAGTCTCAGCTGGACAGCAGGCATTCCAGCTCCTCGTCCAGCCTAGCCTCTTCAGAAGGAAAAGGCATAGGAGGCCTCAACTCGCCCCCGCCGCGACGACGCACACCACAGGGAGCAACACTGTGAGTGTTCAGCTACCTCATCCCCAACAGCAATACAGCCACCCGAACACCGCCACGGTGGCTCCCTTCCTGTACAGGTATGGTGAACTTCTCCAGCGGGCTCTCTTGAACGTGACGCTTCTCTAGGAAGGTTCATTTCGGACACTCGGGGGGGTGAGGCAGCAAGTTGAGTGCCAGATCGTGTATATGTTTCTTGCTTTAAGAGAGTAGGTAATTTATACATTTACACAGAAATTGTTGGTGAAAGCCACCAGACCAGGATGTAGAAAAAGCTGTGATAGATAGGAGGGTGAATAATTGTAGTATCTGACCCTGCTAACAGTTAAGATGAGAACGCTAACACCTTCTTGGCCAGGTACTGCTCTTGCCTTTTTCTCGTACCGTGTGGATTAGGTTTGTTTTACGCATCATAGCTTTAGAAGTTGTATCAGTGCCAATTTATGACGTAGATACATTCGTTCTCTTCGATGTGGCTAATAGAGGTGGAGCTGCCTCACTATAAGCAGTAATGGGAAATCTTAAAAAATAAAATAAAAAATCTCTTAGCATAGGTAAGGCCAGGCACGAAGTCTGCTATTCTGTGCGTTAACCCTGAATTAGATGAGCATAAGAGCAGCCATATGGGGTCACAACTAACCTCCATCTAGTCCAGCACCCTCTCTTTGACAGTGGCAGTAGAGGATACATAGGGAAGAGTAGTAAGAGGGCAGTCAATAAGAAAGCTTCCTACGGACATGCTCCCCAGCCTGACCATGATGCAATAAATTCCTGAGTCAGATGGTGGGATTTTTGGTTTTGACAGCCATCTCTGGCTGTCAGAGTTTCCTCTGACACTGCTTAATTCTTTCACAGGAAGAGAATGCAAGTGATTGTTCTGTCTTCATCACCTTCTTGCTGCTCATGATTTCAGAGACCTCTGTCATAGCCTTCCCTCACTTAAGATGTGTCTTGTCTAGGCTCAGGTGTCCTAGCCTGTTTCATTTTTTACTTGTAGAGATGCTGTTTATACCCTTGGGTCATCTTTGTCTCCCTTTCCCATCATTTTTCAGTTCCACTATATGCATTTTTTGACTTTGATATCTTGGCAGATGTAGCGTAAGAAATGCCACGTTTTTAAAATAAACGTGAATGTAAATGGAAGTAACCTGAAGGAGAGGGATGCAAAATGGGAAGAGCAACCTTTGATTCTTCTGGCTCCTTGAGTGTTCTCCCTGTGTGTATGGAATAAAATGCCAGGTTTCCCTCTGAGATGTAGTCATGTGAAAATTAACCAGTTGGGAAAAATCAATCTGACTAAAACTTGTATTATACAATACATGTTCCCAATTTCCCTTACTCTTCCGTTCATCTACGTACATCAACATTATTGTTGCATCTTTGGCTGAAGGTGGGATCTACTATTTTGAGATTTGTTTGGAGTTCAAAATTGCCGGTGCAGTTTGTACTATTTTAGTTCATAATTTAGTAGAAAATTGTGATAGCAAAGAAACTGATTTATTGTTTCTCCTTCATAACCTGCAAAAATGTGTTCATGATGCTTTGGGTTGTTAAGTTTGTCACTGCGATGTCCTATCAAAAGATAAAGTAAAAAGCACTCTACTTGATGTTCATTTTAGTTTGAACATAGGTATCATCATCTAATGTGTAAAGGTAATGTAAAATCCGTACATTTTCTATAATCCAAACACACTGCTAAATTCTAGGCAGTATTTATTTCACTTTTTACAAAAAAAGTAATGAAACTGCCTATTGGCAGCGGGATAAAATGCGGAGAAATTGAAAAAATAGTCGTGTCTTTTCAGCATTGGAGGAAAAAAGACCGAACTGTATAATCTTGCTGGCTTTAAAAGGAAAGAGAAAAGTCAAATCGTGTCGATTTGCAAGGCAAACATAGAGCAATATTATAAATTTGCTATCCAGACACTTCTTTGAATCTGCAAAATGCATTTGTTAATGCATGGCAGTAGTAGTCTCAGGTTTTTTCTGCTGTCAGTTAAGGTTACTTTAATTAAACCTTTCAGCTGCCTATAGACTGACTTTTTGTTTGGATGTTTTTGGTCTCATTTGTTTTTTTTAAAGTAAAAGACACGAGAATTTGTTCTATGTTTCATAAAGGGTCAACTGAAATTAAGAATATTGCAATAGTATTCCCTGCCGTGTCTTCACTTTTGTACAGCACTTACCCTTTGGACGGGAGAGCTTCCAGCCGCTGGTTGATGTGGCTCTACGAGCAAAACACAGCGCCACTAGGAAAATGAAATGAGTCAAAATACATTATTCAAATCTGACAACGGATTCTTAGGACGTCACCTTTCATTACCTGACACCCACGATGTCAGACAATGAATTGGAGTTTGAAGTTGGTTTTACCCAGTCATTTATTTTACAATACAAATGAGCGACATTGCTCGTTATTGAAGGGAAATGGGCAGGTGTAACATGCCGTCGGACCCTACCTGCTTTATATTTATGCAATACAGACTTTATCGGAGAGGATCGGATTAGCCACAACTCATGATACTGATCCTTAAAATTTAGCTGGAAATCCAAGAGTCTTAAGACCCTGACTGAAGAGCTGTGAAGCCAGTCTTTGACTATGAATTTTTTATTTTTTACAGCTGAGTGCTTGTTTCCATTTCTAGGACATAGGTCAACATGGGACTAATGAATTATGTAAAATCAGTCTGCTCATCTCTTCTGGAGAGAGGGACAGAGCGGCTGATGGCGGGTGCAGTTGTCTACTTGTTATACTCGAGACACTTCTGATGGAGAGTGACTGCACATCTCTCTTTTGGTTTGCCTTGCAGGTCGCAGACAGACAACGAAGGGAATGTAACAGCCGAGGCCAGCACAGGAGGGGTCAGCATGGATTCCGCTCTTTATGTCAAAACTGGACAGCCTGCTCTCGAAGACCTCTCGGGTACGTCTTGCGATACGACTTACTGACTGTGGTCTGGTAAAATAACAACGGGCTAAAGCAACTTGCAAATCAGGAGCTCCCTCTTTAGGGGGGATTTAATTTTATTTTATTCCTAATGCTTTATTTCTTGCTAGTTAAGATATTTCTTTCAGCTCTTCAGCAATGGAAACCTGGTGTCAATAATCTGAATACTAGATGCTCAAGTTCTACACAATCCTGTGCCCCCTGAATTTCTTGAAATCATTAGGAATTCAGAGTACTTTATGTTTTTCTAGGATTAAGCTATTATAAGGATGCTGAGTATTCCCAAACATTTGTTATTTATTTTTTACTTTTTAAAACTTTACTTCAGAGTTTAGAGAAGGGATTAACTTAATTTCCTTGATCTTTTGGTTTGTTTATAGGTTTGGAGGAATCTCAGTATTCACTCACATGAATCTGATCAATTTGAGAAGTGCTCTTTGCAGCAATAAGAGACCAAAATCCAACTTCAGCTTGCTGTGTCCAGCATGCAGAAGCTGAAACTGTTTGTTATTAGAATACTAGCGTTCCAAATTCAAAAGTACTTCATACGTTTATCTAGAATTCCTGCTACCATAAGAAGTATATGACAATTAGCAATAATTTTTAAGCTTATCAATATAACAAAGCAATTTTTAGCAACCATATTCTAATAAAGATCTAAAATGCGCTTTTAAAGTTACAGTCAAGTCTCCTCCTATTCCAGTTACAGCAATGTCTATGACTTTGCTTATTGCATGCTATTGCAGTATATCTCATCAGTAGAATATCTCAGGTTTTTCATCTACTTAGTCTTGGTGTCCTCCAGTTTAATGTGAGTTTTGAAACTGGTTGTCCTGCTTGGAAAAATCATGTGGCTAAAAGTTTTCGCAGTTGAATTCATTTCATGCTGCATTACATATTCTGTCAATGCTGTGTTTATACCTGTGTGCACCTATGCTGATGGCAAAGCCAAGAAAGGGGCTGCAGGAGTGCATACATGAGCATTTCTGTGTGTATGATTTATACATAGGTGGATGAAATATTTAAAAGACATATAAATGGCGCAAAGGATAAAATCCCAGAGAACATTTTTGTGTTCCTGCTTGAATATGAGAGCTAGTTCAAAGTAAGAAACGCAGAATGTCCGGCTGCTTAAACTTTTTCGGTATTACCTCTTAATCATCATATTGCCTAACCTAGATGTATTTCAGCCTGTAAACCGAGAAGTGTTTGTAGATCACAAAAGGTCTTTAATCTTTGATGACAGGTGTTATGTAAATACAAACTATTATTCAAGTAGAACATGTAAGTTTTGGGATCCAAAAACGGAAGACAACTGACAACCTCAAACAATGGAGATGCAAAACCCAGCTGTGTGCTGCCAAACCCCACAGAGGACAGCAGTCCATAAAGGGGTCTTGGGGGAAAAGGAGCGCACGAAACAAAATGGTCCCTCAACCCGAATAAATCAGAAGAAATAAGGGACAGATTTCTTCTCTCCCTTCATGGCAGCTATTGATGCTTTTAATTTGCAAGCACCTATAGAACAAAAGAGAGCGTAGGTAGGGAAAACTGGAAGCTGAACAGTTTAATGATACAGCCTGTTCATGAAGAGCTAAGTGATTTAATAATTAAGTTCTAGTGGCACTGTCCAATATCTTTCTTTTAAGTATACTTATAATTTAAGCAACTGCATGTCGTTTAAGTAAAAATTCCGTGTCAGTTTAGGTGTAAGAGTGATCTCAATAGAAATTGGTTTAGCTTGTCTCATGTATGTTCTCTTAAGAAGTTAACCGCCGTTTGCCTTCATAACTATGAAAGAAATGATCTGTAAAAGAGCACTGTGACCTTTGTTAGGCTAAAAGTCTATAAATATTTTATGTTCTTTACTGCAAAAATTTGTAGATCCATAAGTGTAGAAAATGTTTTCTGTCCCAGAGACTCATTGGCTAAAGGCATCGGTCTTGTTAGGCGGCTATTTCCAGGCCAGCCAGATGATAATTGCTTGACCATTTGGCCTAAGTGAGTTGTGTCTCAGGGAGACTATTTCCCAGGAAGCAGAGACCCATTAAAAAAAAATTGCTAACGTGGGCACTACCTGAGCCATTGTTGTGTATCTCAGAAAGGCTGATGATTGTATAAACGCTAAAGTCTATCTTCCCCTCCCTAGATAGTTCACCCGTAGTCGGGGCTCCGGCACTTCGGTGAGTAGTTTGTGCTACTGCTCTTTGCAGGCACGAGTATGTGACTTGGTTTTTCTGTGCCACCAACCTTTCAGAAACATGAAGTTTAAAGCAAAGACGAATGACCGATATCATGGCAGCTTAAGAATGAGTCACTTGTGCAGAGATGGCAGATACGGAATTTGAAAAGTTTTAAATTTGCTGTAGTATTTTCTTTAGTCGTGAGTTGTACACCCTCTAGAATGAAATAACGTCCTTCTGTGCCCAAGAGAAGTTTTGTGATGGCTTTTTGGAGGTTTTCTGTTTCAGCGTTCCGCTTTCTGTTTCAGCGTTCCGCTTACGAAGAACATGTTGGCACTACTAGAAATTCACTTCTCTTCAACCTTCTTAGAAGGTTTAGCTATATAAAGCTCATCTGAGTTAGCAACCAAAGCATTTCTTATTTGACAGCTGAGAGCAAGTAAATGAATTATGCTGAGGCACTAATTAAATTATTAATTTTATAAAAATATGCTAGGAAATTTTTTTTAATGTATATAAACTCTACTTTTAGAGTTAAAAACCAGGACATAAATGGGTTTTAGAACAGAGTATTTAAAGAACAGGGTTTCTAAATGCCGGGGAAACTAAAAGTCACCTCCCAGCCTTGTGTCATAAAGCACATTTGAGGAATGATAATTGTACTGTGCTGCGGACGAGCAAAAATGTTTGCTATTTTACCTAAAACATTGCTCAGCATGGAGTACCCAGTCAACACAATTCAGTTTACTGGAAAGCTGCTGTTGCAGAATGAGATTACTTAAAATGGGAAAAAGAAGGTTTAGTGAAAATACATCATTGGAGAAATGGGCTGTGTCGGGTTGTTGTTAATTGTGTCAATATATGAGATGGAAAGGGTGGTATTGATGGAGTGTATCTTCTAATGAGGTTGAAAGTTAACCGGGATTTAAATTGGGTCATATGGGGAAATGACAACACAGAAACATCTAGCAGCAAGGCAGCCTGTGAAATCAAGCTAACAGTACCGAGCCCATTCTCAGTCTGGCTGCAGCAATGGCAGGTGCCTTCCGTAGGGGAACGGTATCTCCATGGTAATCAGTTTCGAATGTTAAGTAACAGAAAATCAGAAAAAGTGCATTCAAGACAGATTCAGGCAGAGATAACGACTCAGTTCTGTGCGGTTTCCTGCCTTATCCTTTCTAATGGTTTATTTTTCCTGTAGGAGAGGATCCAGAAACTCGGCGGTTACGAACGGTAAAAAATATTGCCGATCTTCGACAGAACTTAGAGGAAACGATGTCCAGTTTACGGGGAACCCAGGTCACTCACAGGTAATGGCATGACTTGTTTTATCAGAAAATGGGTGTCATTGCGCTCTTGCTTTACATTTCTCTGATCCGGATGGCTTGCATCCTTGAAAAAATTATTAACGCTGGCAGTGGAAGATACCAATCTTGTACTTTTTGTCTTTAAAGGACAGATTCTGAACTATGTTCAGGCTTTATTGAGTTTTGTGATGAGTAATTGGTGGTGGCAGGTTGTATATAGAATCAAAGGTGGAGAATAATCAGTGCTTGTTAAAAGTGTTAGGTGATGTTTGAATACAGGTTACGGTTTAAAATGTTTCTTTATCTTACACTTGAACAACTTCAGCGCGTTAAACCCCTCTCCCCCGATGTGTAATATTTTGTTTAAATAAGCAGGTGAACTGTGCTTGACCCACTTTATCAAGTGCATAACTTGAATTCCTGACCAATCTTTGGACAAACAAATTTTTCTAATACTATTAGTCATCCATGTATATAACTTCTTTTTCTTTGTAAAGCAGCATTTGGAAATCTTTGGCAATACTTAAAATATGCTCTAAGTAAACAAAGACTGTTATTACATTTAAACATTCTGTGACTCAGATCTTTTCAGTGTTGAACAGGAGGCTTGGGAGAAGGAGCTGTTTGGCCCCTAATGAGGTCGGGGTCCTACTTAGAGCTCAGTGCCTTATGGACTCCAGCCCTAAATTAGTTCATTGAGGGAACACTTTGTGTTTTAGCTTTGTGTCTAAAACTGAGGCAGAGCTTGCAAAGATGAACTCCCAATGCTATTTTTCTTTTCAAATTTCAATTAATGCAACCCCTCACTACGATTTAATTACTATAACCAGAGTATACATAGGTTTTTGCAGTGTATACGTAACATTCTATTGTGAATACTACGGTGCTGCTTATTTTAACAAATATCTACAACAACAACAACAACAACAAAGCAGCACTGTGTTAGTTGATCAGGAAGGAAGCGAGCAATTCATTTGGGTAAAAGAAGTTGCAACTATGGACTAGCGGCAAATAAATTAGCTGCAGCTAAGCTGCGAGCGTTGCAGGATGTAGTCTTGCAATCTATGCACATCACCTGAAATCTCATCATGTAGCAGTCCCATTTTTAAGGTTCCACATAGGGGTCTCCGTTTAATCAAATGCCTTTATTTTTTTAAGCACATTGGAAACTGCTTTTGGCACCAATGTCGCTACTGAGGTAAGTGGCCGCAGCGTTCCCTAGATCAAACTAACGTTACTGTTGGAAGGGATGCAACGTATTCACACACTCAGATGCGGAGAATGGAAGTTTTCACATAGCTGATACTTGTCAAAAACTGTATTTACAGGCTGTGATCTAAAATGTTTTTGCAACCAGAGCTCTGTATAAATATTATCAATATTTTGAAAAACATCTTCAATTAATGAATATATAACATATATTTTGAAAAATAAATTTGTTTTTCCTTTTTTCTCATTTTTCATTTAATCCTTTCCTCAGTGTAGAAATAGCTACCATCTTGGTGCTGGACACATCTCCAGAGCATTAGGATTTTCATGAATGCAGCCAAAAAAAAGAAAATACATCAGAAACATAATACTTCAGTTGATTTTCCTTTAGTCAGCTTACTGTCCTACTCCCTTGCCTGGAGTGGCAATACCATGGTATAATAGAGTTATATACGATTGAAGATGAAAAAGTTGTGCTTTGAAACTGTGGATAATCCATTAAAAAGTTGCTGGTTAAGTCTTCTCACGTATATGTTGACCACTTGGTGGCCTGGGTACAAGAGTATCATTATTTAAGAATAGCGTTGGAGGAACCGACCTCGCTCTCTCAAGGCGTAGCAGCAGGTAACTTCTGCTAATGCTGTCACTTCCAAGCTGTAACTTGGCGAGCATTCAGTTGTAGGGTCATGCAACCGCCTGAAATCTTACGGCGCTCAGCATAGCAGGCCACATTCAGTCAAATGCATTTCTTTTTTTTAAGCACATTGGAAACTACGTTTGACACCAACGTCACTACCGAGATAAGCGGCCGCAGCATCCTCAGCTTGACGGGACGACCGACCCCCTTGTCGTGGAGACTGGGGCAGTCCAGCCCCCGCCTGCAGGCAGGCGACGCTCCGTCGATGGGAAATGGGTATCCTCCGCGAGGGAACGCCAGCCGCTTCATCAACACGGAGTCGGGACGTTACATGTATTCGGCACCTTTGCGGAGGCAACTGGCATCCCGCGGCAGCAGTGTCTGCCACGTGGACATCTCGGACAAGGGAAGTGATGAAATCGATCTGGAAGGCCTCACCATGGATGCCACCGGGTATATGAGCGATGGCGATGTGTTGGGCAAGAATATTAGAGCTGATGACATCACAAGTGGGTAAGTGCCTTTACTTTTCTTCTTAAATACTATACTTTATGTGACTCTTGCATTGTGTTAAATGACGCTGTATGAGTATTTGGAGAAAGAAAAAAACCAGCAACAAAGATATTCTACTGGTTTTAACAAGCGTTTGGAGGGACAGCTCATTATCACAGTTAATTTAGTCGGGGGGATTTAAGCACATGATCTAAGTCTAAGTGCATGTTAAAAAAAAATTGCTATATATGAATATACTCATGCACATGATTAAATATTTTTCTGAATCAGAGTTCATTGTGGTCGTCAAACACATGCTGCAACGTTCATTTACGCCCACGAGATGGAGAGAGTGAGGCATTTTCTGTACTTCTACTGAACCCTTTTGCTGACGGAACTTTTAGGGGACAGTTCACTGGAAGTAAATGAGTTTACACCTCTGTGTAGGGTAAAACAGTTGTACACGCAAAATAAAGTCTAAAGAACAAGTTAGTGTGCAGAAGTATGAACTGATAGACAATGGTTACCAAGATTTTACATCAACATTTTACTTCTCCCTTGACTGGAAAAAGCATTTGTTTCTTGCTCCAAAGGCAGTATTCAATTCCATATGTCCATTTTCAATTCCTTCTAGTACTTCCTAGTACAGTCATTTCTTTTCTTAGCTCAAGTACATCAGCATTAGATTGATGTTAAAACTGGTCTTTGAGATGTGAATGGAATATTAGTTTTTGTGGCAGCCTTTTCCCTGTCTGGCCATCTTACAACCTTTGCTTTTCTGTAATTTTTTAGTAAGTGACATTTCTTGTAGCATTGGCTTATTTGGAAGATTTAATGTCTCTTACTGAAGCAGAAAGCTGGAATCCAGCCGCTGCTTTGTCACTAACTTAACCAGTTAAGTTACGCAATCTGGAAGCCTCCATTAATTCTGTCCGTTGTGAATAATTGGATGTTTTCACACTGTCCTTTTTGAAAAGTCAAACGCTGTGTTTTTTTAATTCTTCGCTAGGGAAGCATATAGTAAAGAAGCTGATGCAAAAGCCAGTGTAAAATTCTGTTTTAGATAAAGCCCTCATAGCTGTTGCTGCATTAATAACGCATCGTATCACTAAAGCGCCTTGTGTTTTCCTCGAAAAAATCAGCTTATACCTGAGTTTTGCAAGGTAGTAAAATTTTACTGCAGTAAAAGTTATTGCTTTTCCTCTGGACTATGACTTTCATTCAAACTCGTGGCTGTAATTTTGGGCTAGAAGTGAGGAAAATAAATTCTGAGTAGCGCCATGGTTTCTATAAAACGCCTAGAGTATGAGCTGAGAAATGTCCCTGGCAGAATTGTGTCAGTTCAGGCTTCTGCCGCTCGTATCCTAGAGGAGCCCCAGTCTTTGCAGATCTTCACATAGTTTATATAGTTCAGATTGCAGGTTGAGGAAAAGGAAAGAATAAGAAAGCTGTTGAGTTTATGAATTATATTTCCAGAGAAATTTGTGGCTTCACTCATCCGTGTATACAATTTCGTTTTCTGTGCCTCTCCGGTAATCCCATAGGGTTAAAAAATGGAAGTCTCCATAGTCTGAAAATACAAGAGTGGTCTTTAGATTTGAGTTCTGAGGGGCTAATAGTGGAACAAGATGTTTTTGTCAGTTGGTACCTCTGTCACCAAAGCAGTGAGTTATATACCAAGACCAAGAATAATACCAAGAATGGTGAAGGTACCGTTTAGCAGAAGGGTCATATACCCCATGACAGCTCTGTCCTAGCCTTGAGCGTTAGAACATCTTTAGCTAAGTATCTGACTCTTATTTCCCACTAGTTTTTAAAAGAGGAAGATAACTTCCAGTTTTTATTCATATAACCAGCCACAGATTGATAAATGAGATCTCAATTTAAAGTTCTTAGGACAAGAAAAGTCATGTGTACAAATGTCTTTTTCTTTTCGACATTTTTTGCCTTTAGCTACAAAACCCTATTTCGCTAAATAATGTGAGTTGGTTCATCGATTTATATAGCACTGTTGTAGTCATTGACTAAGTTCCAAGGGCAGAATCTGTGTTGTAGGTCAATCCATCATCGGAAGGATGCAGCTCCATTTCCAGGTTGTGGACAGGGTTTGGAGGTTGGGTGGTTTGGAGGTCCTCTCGTTGCTGCACTGGTGGGCATTCGAAGGGAACTTTCCCGAAAGCAGCCCCACAATGTTGGGGTTGCATAGTCTGTGGAGAGTAATTGTGTGTGCAGATTCTTCAAGAAGGGAGTATTGCAGTATTGAATTGCAGTAACAGCATTGGATATAATCCCATTATCAATGGAGAGAGATGAAAAAATGAGGGTGTTACCTCTGGTGAATCTCACTGACACCGAATAATGCTGGACTGCCATCTTCAGTATGAACAGGCGTTCTGGTAGCCTGTTTCATGAGTTATCTTCCCCAGTGTTGGTTTTTTCCCAATAATAAAAGAACAGGATAGCATCAAGTCTTCGTGGGAGAGAATTAATACTCCGCTTAGAAATCGGAGAGGTTGCTTATAAAGAAAGCATCCGTGTGACTTGCTGCAGAACAAATCTCTGAGATCAGTGTTAGGGTGAACAGGCACAATATTTCCAGAAGCTGAGTTACAGTCAGCACAAGAGGGCATTTATAGTATGAATAGCTCTTTATTAGCTGGCATGTGTTTCACTTTGTCATTTTTCAGAATTGCTACAGTCCTGCAGTCTGAAAACCTTGGATCTGTGTTTTCATTGGCAAACTTATAGGGAAGGAAGCCAAAATATTTGTTACAGCCAAAATAAATCCAATAGCCAAGATAAACTATTTTAGCTCTGTGATCCTGATGCTTTCTCTGAAATGTACTGGGTCATGGGAAGTTTCGTTTGGCCTCCTTTAATAACTCTGCTCAAGCAGAGCTCTGGCAGACACCAGGATTGCTTTCACAGGGTTAGAAAGAGTATCTTCTCCAAACAGGCAGAAAATACCTCTTAAACTGAGGAAGTCTCCAGGGGGTGGTTCAAAGGTAACAAGTGGTCTTACTGTGGGAGCTAAAACACCGACCGAATAACAAAGCGCCTTCAGCGGTAAGGTGGGTGAGCTCGGGACTTCAGAGCCTCATCAGAAAGTGGCACCTCAAAGCCCAGAGTTATCTTACCTATCCATTCCAAAGATTGTTCCCGGTGGGGACATTAACTCTCGTGGCTTTTTTGGGTTTGTTAAGAAGGTTTTGTCCATTTCAGTCTCCCTCTAGCAGCTAACATCCGCGTTCCTACCTCTTATTGTCCTCCTTTTCCCAGTTTTGTCTAATGACATATACAGCTAATTTCCTTTTTTTCTGTCCTTGGAATGGAACAACAGAGATGTTGGTCAAAAAGGCCTTTTAAATTAGTTTCTTTTCATTTAATTAATTCTCTGCCCCTGTTTTCATTACCCTAGTGTGCGGCTTTCTGTGCAGAATTGACAGCGTGGATACACCGATCGGTGCTGGTCACAAATTTTCTCAGGAAATGGCTTTGTGTCCAACGCAGCTCGTCAAAACAATTTTTTTTGCAAAAAACCCATGCCTGTTCCAGCTATGTCCCAACAAAAAGTAGATTTGATGATTTGACAGTTAGCCACCGTAGAGCCTGAACTTCAAGGCAGGGCAGATGCTAGCGGCACCACGTGTGACCATGGGTCTGCTGCGTGCCAGGCTGGGCTTTGGGGCATGCCCAGCTCGCTCTGCTGCACGTACCTCATTAAGAACCATTACCTAGTGACTGTCTCATACCTCACTTAGCCAGCCTAACAGCTCCCTCAGCTGTTAGATGAGGACAGAAGGGCTCAGCCTGCACACGATGTTCAGGGGCCCTGTGCTAAAATTCTCCTTGCAGCGGCTGTTGTTGGGGGGGGAGTGGAGAAACTTGACTGTTTTATTAACCTCCCCATTTATTTGATGCTTTGGAGCCGACGTGTTCCCGTTCCACATCTCTATTTCCACAACCTCTTCATGTGTTTGTGTGCACGATGCTCATGGGATTATGGTTCCTTCTTGTTTATTCAAGCCTTTACGCTCCCTGGGGATCTTTCTACAAGCACTACAAGCAGGTGAATTGGGAACATGAATGAAAGGATGCTAAAAGGGAGAGCAGGCCACTCTGGGCTGGGGAAATCGGGCTTTAGCCCCTGCTTCTGGCTCAGGTCGGCCAAACCCACGGAAGAGCATTGTGCCCTAAGGAGAAACCGTCTTTGTGGTGCGAAGGCCTGTCTACCCTTGAGGAACATGGACCAAAACTGAAAGAGGGTTCTGTTGTAGGCTGAAATTGGGGAGTTACATCTGTCAGGAGGCAAAGAAGAGTTCGATATGAAGAGCTGAAATGGAGGGCAGATTTCGCTGCACGTTGATTGATACTTGTAGGCTTCTTGTGGCTCAGTCGATTGATTTTGTACTATTTATTGGTCAGACAGCGACGCATCTTTTTCAGGCGTCGGGCTCGTGTGGCCTAACGGCTTTTCGCCTGGGCAAAAGTTTTAGAGGAGGAAAAGGAGGACTAAGCAGTTTGCTGCTAATGAGAATTTGTTCTTGGTAACGATAGTAAAGAGAAGCCATTTCCTCCTAAGCTGTCTGCAATAGGAATGGTTGCTGCTCCAGCTAACGCGTGGCTAGCTAGAAATACAGAGTGGCTGAGCTAATTCGTGACCTGAATGAGAACCTCTTCGCCCTGTACATTGATTTAGTGCTAGCTGTAGTCTTTTCAGACCTATTTTTGCCACGGTGATTACCACTGTATTTTTTCTGTATGGTTTGAGTTACAGTGGGTTAGTCATTCTACTGGACATTGCACTTTAAATAGTATGATTTCAGTGATAAGATTTCATCTAAATACAGTGGATGGGTAAAACTGCATTCCTTATATGGCTATAACACTTCAACATGACTGAGAATCGTTAGGACGTTTATTTTATTTTTCTTCTTCGTTTGAGCAGAGTGTTTATTTGAACTGCCTTCTGTCTTGCTGGGACTGGCTTCTTACATTTTGATCTTTTCAACATTGCAGAA